GGATGATTGGGAAGTTGATATCTGTATGGTATGAGAGTGAATGGATGCGCACACCAAGCATGGGCGCAAGTTATATAGTGGGAGTGAGATGAACCCAGTACCTCAGTTGAAAATGCAGAAATCACCGGTCTTCTGTGTCGCTCACGCTGGGAGTTGGAGACTGGAGCTGTTCCTATTTGGCCATCTTGCTCCGCCCCCCCAGACTCGGTTTTTCTATTTTTGGAAGCAGTGATCTGTTCACGTCTCTTCCCAATGGGTGCCTAAGGGGGCAGGCATGTGAGTGGATGCCATCCGAAGACAGCACTTTACCTTGGGTAGAAGCCAGGCTCTTTGCTCTGCTTCTATTTCCTCTGTTCTTGATGAGAACCACCCTTGCTTGAGGAATTCTGAAGTGCTGGTGACCCCTGGGATATCCAGGAGGATAGCCGTGCCCCTTCCCGCTGATCACCCAAATGTGGTCTCCCGTCCAGCCCTGGCTGCAGCCTCCCAGTTACAACTGCACTTTACATATCAATCCATGCTGCCTAATCCGTGGGGGACCTTTGAAGGCAGGGATGGGGTCTAACACCCGTGGGGCGCCGCCACGCCAGCAGGCATCAGTTCAAGGCCTGAGCAGCACAGGGACATGGACCCAGCCATGCTGCGGCAGCTCACACCTCTCTGCTGTTCCCTCTCACTTTTAGATCGGAAGCCAGTTTCCACACACTTGCCTCTCACTAGAACGTCCTCCTCACTGGCCGAAGAGGAGACACTCATTGAAATCCTAGAGCAGCTGGCTCAGACATTTAAATAGACCAACTGAGGCTCAGTGTGGTACCAGAATTGCCTTAGAAAATACCAGGTGTGGTCTAGGGGCCAGTGAACAAGACCTCACTTCAACTTCCCCTCGAAGACGTTGTGCCTTACAGTGAGGGGCCTACAAGGGCTGGGAACTTTTATTTCAAAATAAATACTACCGGGGCTGTGATCAGGCTGGCCTTGACTCCTGCAGCAGGTTCTTTTCTTAAGTCTCTCATTTATTCCAGAATGTGGTTTTCTAAAGAATTTGAAGTTCGAGATGAACCACCATTGCCAGTCTGAGGGGACCCAGGGTTGGAGGCAGCAGGAATGCCCCACTGTGGACTCCACTTCCCCTCCCTTTCTCAGCTCCTCCAGTGTCAGAGGCTGGTGCTGGGCCCCCCCACCCCCCACCCCAGGAGAGGGCTGGACACTGCCTTTGCTGTGCATGGTCCCAGGAGCACAAATGTAACCAACAGATGCTGCATATTTACATACACAATTGAATGAGGCCTAGTTTGCATTTGCTTAAGATTAGGAGTGGCTTCAGTAATGCATGTGGCATTCTGGTACTACACTTTGATGAAACCTCTAATTTACACCATTTTACCTCTTAGTGACTCCAGGAAAAGTTGCAATAAAACCAATGAGCAGATTTAGAATACATCTACATACATTCTTCGTGTCCATGGTGGAATCAACATAACTCAGGCCCCACAGCAGAGGAGAACCCAGACGGCTGCAGCTTCTCAGTGGTCCTTGAGACACTGATCCAGGGCTCATCAGCCAAGGGCCACAAGGAAGGGATTTTTCTGGGTGTGCCAGCCTGAAACATCAGCATCTTTCTGACAAAAGGAGGCACCATCAAGCAAGCACCAGCTCCATTTAACTCATGCCTCCTTTTCTGCAGGAGGATGAGGGGCCTCAGCAGTGCTGGGTGTGGGCGAGGCTGTGCTGGGCGAACACCGGGACGGGACAGCCCAGCCACTCCTTCAACCCTGATTCCATAGCATGCAGGTCACTCGGTCTTTGCACCGATTTTTCTTCTCCATAAAATGAACCTCACAAGTTTTCAAAGAGGCTTTCCCTGGCAGTGTTTGCCCCGAAGTCATTTCTCCTCATTTGGAAAGTTTACTAAACACAGGAAAAAGCCGACTTACATGATAAAGAAAAAGAGCTGCATGGCCTGAGCCCGTGTGCTGTACTTAGACTGTGGTGAACGGGGCTCATCGTCACCTCCAAACAGCAGCTCTCCCTGGCGTCTAGACAGCAGGTGGAGTGGTCTGGAACCTCCCCCTCCCACCAACTGGACAGAACCCACAGGGCTAAACAGCACAGCAAGGCTGTTGGGGTGCGTGTGTGTGGCCGCATGTAACAGTGATGGGACCACAGCTGCAGAAAGGTTTTCACAGAGATTTATTTTAAACCATGGAGGCAACTCTGCATTGAGAGTTGTACATTGGTAATGTATACACGTATATTTTGGTTAGAGGGAAGCACAGTGGGAAAGTGAGCGGAGTAAAAAACATTCACAATATTCAGCAGCATTTGAATGGAGGCCTGGATACAGACATTTCAACATCCTAGGAAATTCTTGCTCATTACCACCTAATCCCATTCAGGAAGTCAGTGTCAGGACCGGCAGGGAGCGTGGTAAATGCCGGAGGGGTCCAGCTAGACCACACGGGAGAAATCTGTTCCAACATCGGGCTTATTACATTCTCAGCCTGACCCCCCCGAATAATCTCCTCACTTCAGAAAAAGAAAGAAAAAGATAGCCATACGGCAACATGCCCACTGCAGCCAGGTCCAGATGTGGGCTGCAGCCCGGTGGATGTAGAGAATGGAAGATCCGTGTCCCTGGTTAGAAGTAGAGTGGTAGGCAGGCACTAATGTGGGGCCAGCACCTTCCCTGTTGTCCAGTTAGTAACAGTTTTTGTACATTTCATGTAAAGATTTCCTTTTGCAAAATGACAGTACCTTGAAAAACAAAGTCATGTAAAAAGCAAGGCAAATGGTATAAGACACAAATCCATAAGAGTACAATGGTTTCAAGTGACACTAGTGTTTTGGTCCATATGTCATACTGGCATATACTGCTGATGTAAGGCTGCCATCCACTAAAATGATAAAAGAGAGTGTATATGTGAAACATATTTTTCAAAGCATTTTTCCCTTTTGTGTGAGTGACAGCTCACCTTTTCATGTATCCCCGAGAACCAAGGGAAAAAAGAATCATAAGTATCAAGGTCAGATTCTCAATCTAACTTTTCAGCCAACCTGTAATTCCTGACACTTCCAAGAAAGTCAGATACTCTTCCTGACTGGTAAAGGTACACATTTTGAGGTATCTATTTTTAGTGAGGTGGTACCATAATTAATTTCCACACTTACCATCTTAAAAAACATTTTTCCCCTACAACCTCATGAAAAGAAACTTTACCATCTTTTCCCAAAACCAAACCTAGTAGGCTGTAGATGGAAAAAGTCCACAAAGTAACTCCCTTGATATGATGGAAGACAACAAAGGCATGTGGTGATAGACCCTCCTGTATCCAAGGGAAGCCAGCAACATGTGGGCAGCTCACTGGTGATGGGTTAGGCACGCCCAATAATAAACGAGACTCGTGGAATCGTAGAATCACAGGATTGGAAGGGACCTTAAGAATGATGATCAAAATCATCCCTCACTCAAGCCTTTAATCTCCCTTTCAACATCTCTGGCAAAGGCTCTACGCTCTTAAAAAAATTCTCTGGTGTGGGACGTGCAAGGAAGATATCCCATTCCAATTTGGGACTGGTCTAATGTATAGACACTGCTTTCATGTGCTAAAGCTAAGTAGGCTTCTCGGTGGAAAGGAGATAATGTTTAAAGGCAAAAATCCAAACCACAACCCTGGAGGGCTGACATGTGATTCCTGGTTAAGAAGCTGAGCTGAAGTTTTAACAGGAACACAGATGTTTCTGGACTTAGTTTTGGACATAGATCTTTGGGTCCTACAAGGAAAAGGCAAATGATGTGATAGCAGAGACAGGCGCTGCCATCCCCCTGCGTGGTGTTCCTGCCTCCACAGGGCCAGGTCTCCCAGACAGACCTGTAGCTGAATTGACAAAACTCTGCCTTCCCCTTGCAAGTGCCCCTGTAAGGAGGATCCCCCACATTGTACTGGAATCATCTGCGACTTGCAAGAGCAGAAAGTGGAGGGCAGCAGCTGCCTGCGTCCGCACCCAAACACTTGGCCCCGCCTATCTGTGCAATGCCACACTGGACTAGAACAATCCCCTCCTGCCGCAGGTCCAGGGCTTTCCTTTTCCAGAGTGGAGCAGCTGAGCCCAGCACACCTTTGGTGTTAGTCTGTGAGTCCTTCCTGGTAGCAGGCCGTGCACTCATAGGCTCCACCTCCTCCTCCCAGACTCCAGTGAGAGGCTGTGCACCCAAAGATCCAGAATTAGTTACCCTGGGTCACTTCCAGATAACAGTTCTAGGGATTTCCAAAGAAAAAGAAACTGATACTATTATAATATAAACTAATAGTAGCATTGGCTGCAGGAGGAGCCTCTGGGGAAACCCCTCGCAGTGAGCCGTGTGCGCTTTCCTCTGAGGCCAGGGAGCAACAGCATCTGATAGCAACAAGCTCGGTTCCGGGATGCAGCTGAGCTGGTTGGCTGTTCTCCGGCAGCTCCAGCCCACTTGTGATCCCTGGACACACCACACTGACTCCAGCTCTCAGGCCTTTGTTTATGCTGTTTCTGAAGCCTGGAAAGTCATTTCCATTTTTCCCCCTTATGACTCACTCCTCATCCTTTAACACTGAGCTCAAAGTCCTTTCCTCTGTGAAGCCCCTCCTGCCACACCTGCTGGGTTAGTGGCACCCTGGCATGCCTCTATTATGACCACATTGCACTGAAAAGACCCATTTACTCACTGTGTGACCTCTGCCCAGCCTGAGAATGGGCTGCAGACAGCTTGCACCGCCAGTGCCTAAAGCCTGGTGGCTGGTGAGTGCTCAACACGTTGGCATGAACATTCAAATCTCAGGGATCATCTAGAGAACTCAGTGTTCAACAGGAACTTAATTTCTGTGTTTTCCAATCCAGTTAATAAATATCTGTCTTCATACCAGGAAAAATTCAGTAGTATTTTAAAGGAGAAAAAATAAGAATGTATTGGTAAAATGCTTTCTTTCACTTCGAAGTATCTTAGTGAACAAGAACACTTACCTAGAATTAAAATTCTATGAATGAATAGCCATAACCAGAGGAATCTCATTTAGTGAATATTTGTGTCCAGTAACTGTGACCCACGCTTAGAGCTATCCTTTTGCTTAAAAACAAAAATTTGGGCCTTAAGAAGTGATTAATATCAGTCAAAAATAAATTATACTTTATTTATTCAGGGCCTTGCTCTGCTGCCCAGGCTAGACTGCAGTAGTGCAATCATAGCTCACTGCATCCTTGAATTCCTGGGCTCAAGTGATCTTCCTGCCTCAGCTTCCTGAGTAGCTGGGAATACAGGTGTGTGCCACCAGACCCAACTAAGTTTTACATTTTTGGTAGCGACAGGTCTTGCTGTGTTGCCCAGGCTGGTCTTGAACTCTTGGGCTCAGCGATCCTCCCGCCTCGTCCTCCCAAAGTGTTCAGATTATAGGTGTGAGCCATGGCACCTGGCCTATACTTTTATAAAATGAATCTCAGAAAATGAAAATGTGATATTCCGTAAGGGCAGTGCTGTAAGCCTGGGAATCACAGCCAAATGGGGTAGGGGGAATTTTAAGTGCCCCTGGATTTCCATTTCAGTTTTGCCTCTGGGGTGGTTTGAGGGGAATGTATAGGAAGGAATTTATGTGGATGAAGGCAATAATTACCTCCCCCACCACAGGGCTGTAGCCAAAAAAAGTGTCATATATGCTTCTGATAAGAGGAACAAAGCTGGTTCCAGACAGCGCCCTGTCTCAAGGCGCTGAAAGTCTCTCCTCCCACTCATGCCATTACTAAGTAATGTTCAAGAACAGCTACTCCTTAAACATTCTTTTCTCTTGTTTACGTCTCAGTCATATCTAACTGCCCCGTATAACCAGTGTGTTTTCTGCTTGGAACACTCTAGATCTCTGAAGATGCCTTCCAGTTTTGTGACTTCATGATTTCTGGAATAATTAAAACAATCAAATGAGAAACACGTTATGGTGGATTGACCTCATACAAAATGACATTAAGATTCCAAATGTTTCATCTCAAACCATTTTGCTATTGTGAAGACACACTCAGGCAGTAATGTCAAGTAATGTCATTCGTTTGGAGGAACTAAGAGCATGTGGTTGGTTTTGTCCCACCAGGTAGAGAACAACTCTGCATATGATATGTGTAGATCTGCCACTTTCTCAACGCAGGCAAGTTAGGCATTATTTGCAAGAGCTGCTATATGTTTAAGCAACAGAGCAAAAATATATGTAAAGTGCAAATCCAACAGGGTGAAACAAGAATTATGAGAGTTCATCTAGACAGAACAAAAGCCAAGTGCTGGCGCCAGCTTTCACTCCTAAGGAACGAAGCCTCCATTTCCCTAAAATGCTTGGAAGACACCCAACACCAGCACATATTTCTCTACAAATTACAAAAATGGGGGAGACACTTAATGCAAAACTCAAGAATTCACAGTATTACAAACACACAGTTGGTTTGCTAAACACATTTCATCAAATTCAAGCACCCATACAGATGAGAGAAAAGGGAAGAGCAATGGATACCTTGGCATATCTGTGGTTTTCTGATCATGATTCTCAACACCAGTGAGATGTGAAGTGGCTTCAGCCTCTAGTGGCTCTGTGGGCTGGGAGGAAGACAGTAGAGTGGCATGCAAGGTCACAGGCCAGAGCGACTGTAGAGGACATATGTGATCTGACGGGGACACTCTGCTTCCCGAATGAGGTCTGAAGGCATCTAGACCTATCTCAGAACCCACACAGCTTGCTGGGCGCCTGGGCTTTTGCTGCCCTAATACTGTGTTCCTCTCTCTGTAGGCAGGCCAAGCTCAAAGTTTAGGAAGGGAAAATGGAGTGACTCATGTCTATTACTCATTTCCAACACACAGTCCTCTATTACATACAACTTAGTAAGTGGCTGCAGGTTCTAGTAATAAACTACAAAATAGATATTTGAGTATTTTAAATTTAATTCCCTTGTTAAAGCTCTCTCACAGAGTAATCATGCAGAAAAGAGTCCAAGTAGTTATAACAGTTTTGACTGATGCAAGCAAGGGTAGTGTGGAGCAGGGCAGCGAAGCGACAAGTGCTAATAGCCTGTGCAGGGCATGCGTGTGCCTCTTCAGAGCTCTGGTCACATGGGCTGCGCTGGTCTGATGGCTCAGGTGACAGCTTCCATGTACCATGGCTGCATGGGACACATGCACTGGTCCTGCTTCCCAATGCTAGGGCAGCAGAATCACCTCTAGCAAGGCCCCACCCCCGGGAAGCACACAAAGGGGCAGTGCCCGAGGATGGCTTGTAGTACTTCCCCCTAGTTAGAGAAGTAAGGAATGATTGTGAGGGCAAAAAACGGCTTTCCAGGAAAAGAGGGAAAATAATAGGGAGGATTTCGATTTCACTCCCGTATGTATCACCACCAAAAAAACCTGTAGAATCAGAAGAGAGCAAGACACTGTGGGGTGGGGTTTGGGTCAGGAAGGACAAGCAATTGGCCTGTGATCCTCAAGAGACTGGTGAGCTCCCTGATGCTCCCGACATGTGAGGTTGAATGAACTGTGCGTGTAAAGTGCTTAGGAGGGGTAGGCACCTGGTGCAGGCTTGCCATTAATTTTTATTCTATTTTTACAGGGGAAAATAAGATGTTTAAAAGGGACTTCAGTATCCTGAGTTGAGTCACTACACACAAGAATATTTCATTTTCTCAAGCTTGATTGGATTCCCTTAGAAATAAGAGTTCTTCAGGTTCGCTTTCTAAAGTCCTCTTTTCCATTCCCATAGGAACACAGCCTGCACTGTAGGTACCATTCTGTCTCGGATCAACCACATACCGTTTTAGTACAAAGTGTTCTGATGAAACACATTAAGATAAAATGTTTAAATATCTAGTTTTTAAAGGGATAGAATACAGAGGGTGAGGAATACAGCAGGATTACAATCCTGCTGTAATGAACATGTTCAAGTTCAGAGATGATGTCACACAGAAACACACGATTTAAAGACACTTATTTTCAGAGCATGTATGGTGGGGCTCCCCAACCCCGGGCTGCAGGTGGGTACCCATCCACGGCCTGTGAAGAATGGGAGGCACCCATCAGAAGTGAGCAGCGGGCAAGCAAGCACTACTGCCTGGGCTCCGCCTCCCATCAGATCAGCGGTGGCGTTAGATTCTCATAGGAGCACGAACCCTATTGTGAACGGCGCATGCGAGGGATCTAGGTTGCATGTTCCTTGTGAGAGGCTAGTGCCTGCTGATCTGAGGTGGAACAGTTTCATTTTGAAACCGGTCCCTGCTGCCAACAAGGTTGAGGACCACTGATGTAGGATTTTGTGTGTGTGTGTCGTTTGTTTTCATTGTTATGAGTGAGGGAGAGCTGTGTCAAAAAAGCTAAAACAAGAGGCTCGGGAGGCTCCAACTGAATTCTAAATGATCAGGCACTAATCGTTGAAGCTCTGAGTTAGAATAATCTACTTCTGTGATAACCATGGTTGGGAGCAGCTTTCTCACAGCATTTTTTTTTTTTTTTTAATGTGGGAAAGACAGAGGCAACTGAGGCAGAAACACAGTCTTTTCTACTCAATAAGAACGTGAATGAGGCAGACATTACAAACAAATCGCTCTTCAGGCGATTCCAGCAGCTGGCTGGTGAATCCACATGATGAGTTTCCAAATCTCTCCACTGAGGAGGACATGAAAGCAGAAACACTGGGAATAAATAATGTAAATACATCCCCTTCAGGAAAGGCAGAGAGGTGCGGGTAGGTGCAGAGGGAAGAGAACAAAAAGCCGCTGGCCACGTGACACATGTTGAAGTAAAGAAAATACAGAAACTGTAATGACCAAAATACTCTGAGTGGATACTTCCCTTATTTCTCTGACACACAAAGCAACACATAAAATGGGGTGTGGAAAGTATAAAATTAAACACCCCACACAGATTTTTCGGTATACTCAAAACAATGCAGCACAGCCAGACTGTATAAACCATTTGTTAAAAAAATAGCTTCTTTTATATTGTATGAACAAGTTGGAAGAGTCCCCTTGCAAGTTCTCACTCGCCGGGTCCCCACTGTGCGCATGGGTCACCTGCAAATTCATCCAGGGTCTTTAGTTTCTTTCTTTCTTCTCACGTGTCTGCTTTACCACTCTGGTAATGATTTGGATTAAAACAACCATTTCTTTAGTAAATACTATCTTTCTGATTCCTGGGAGAGTCATCAAGACACGACTGGGGTCATATCCCACAACTGCAAATAGGAAAAGATACAGAATGAACTAAAATTAAATTGTGTTGAGGATAACAGTCCTTAGTACTGAATTCTTCAAGGAAATTTTTTTCATTTAACAACCAACCACATACTATACTAACATGATTTCTAAATCTATAAATTTTTTTTCATCAAAAAAAGTTCAAATAAAGCTCAAAAACGTGACAATGACAGCTTGAAATTTTGATGTAGCTAATGCAGAATAATGGCAGATTCAATCTATTAATGGCTGAGAGGACTGGGAAGACAAGCTACCCTGCAGATCCTCCTGTGAGTCACTAAAAGGGAAACGCTGCAGAGCACTGTGTTGACATCTGAGGCAGCTTTCGATGAGCCAACATGAAAGAGACAATATAGATCTGTCCCACCCTCCAAATAGATTGAATCCACTAAATAACTCAATCCATTAACAGGACGCTAAGCACATTCTGTGTCCTTTCCATTTAAACTTCCAAACCATTTTACAAGATACCTCGTTTTCAAAAATAAAGGACCCGAGGCTGCCAGAGTTTATCTTATTTTAATTAATTAATTAATTATTTTGAGACAGGGTCTTGCTCCGTCATCCAGGCTGGACTGCAGTGGCACAATCAAGGCTCACCGCAGCCTCTTACTGGACTCAAGTAATTCTTGCACCTCAGCCTCCCGAGTAGCTGGGACTACAGGCAGGCACCATCGCATCTGGCTAATTTTTAAATTTTTTGTTAAGACAGGGTCTCACTATGGTGGCTAGGCTGGTCTTGAACTCCGGGGGTCAAGCGATCCTCAGTCTCACCTCCCAAAGTGCTGGGATTATAGGCGTGAGCCATCACACCCACCCAGAGTTTATTTTAAACTTCCTCTCAAAGTCATGGAGATCTGGTAGCTTCCAAAGTGGGTTATTTTAGCTATCTCATCCTGCTGTGACCTCCAAGAATGGGTCAGGGAGGTAGAGCTCAGTGCGCTATAAATTCTCATCTGTATTACTGTTTTGACTGCTACACATGTGACCTATTATAGTCTTTTTAGTCTGTCCCAAGTAGACTATCTATTCCTTGCAGGCTGGAGCTCTTATTTCTTTGTGTAGAGCCAGTGCCTGGGATGAGGCTGTGCATGTATCACGTTTGTAATAGGTTCTCAAAAACACTCACGTCCAACGGTTAACTTTTTTTTTTTTTTTTTTAAAGAGATGAGGTCTTGCTTTGTTGCGCAGGCTAGGGTGCAGTGATGTGATCAAAGCTCACTGTAGCCTTCAACTCCTGGACTCAAGCAATCCTCCCTCCCAATCTCCTGAGCACCTGGGACTACAGACACATCATGGTTGGCCACCCAACGATAACCTTTAGAGCAGTGCCTCCCATGTTCTTGGTGTTCCTGTATATTTATATGAGGCCAAAGACGGAAAGCTTCTTAATAAGATGGCGTCTTACCTTAATAACCTTGTCAGTTCCAGAAGTCAGTAACCATCCTCTGGTTGCATCGAAATGCACATGCACAATGTTATGTTTACTGTCATGGAAGGTGGCTGTGGGTGCACGTCTGGAAGGAGCAAAGAAAGCTTCTGAGAAGAAAAGGTGGTGACATATGAATGAGAGAGATCTAGGATGACATTAGGCTCTAAATTTTGGCCTCATGGGTAAAACTGCTTCACTGATAGGAATGTTCCTCAGATCTGACTTTATTCCCTAGTGACCAGTTATGATTAAAAAAAATTACAAGAATTCTTGTAGTCTTTAAAATGGGAAAGAGATGAAAATTTCTAAAAGTCCTTCTGGAGAATGTTGCTCTGATGGTGTCTGCAATAATCTCCACCCGAGCTTTTAAAAACCATAGTGCTTTTGCTAAGTTTGAGCTCAGAAGGACTTGCCAGTAAAATAGTCTATTTAATTAAAAAAAAAAAAGGACCAAGATAGTACTAAGTGTCCCATGATATTACTAAGTGTCGTTCTAATTGGAGAACTATCCCCCTCCATTCATTTTTCCTTTTTCACTGGTATGACTGCAGACTTGGTTTTTATATAGTATTCTAAAGCTGTAACAAGCAAAACAAAATAACAAACATCATTATTTTGGGATTTTTAACATACACTTTTTTTTTTTAAGTCAGAAGGCTTGTCAACTGCCTAGGTGCTCTAGAGGCAATGCAAGTGCTTCCACAGAGACGAGGCAGAAGAAACGGAGGTGGGAAAAGGTGCAGGGTGCAGTCTAGGAGACAGCGCTCTTATCATGCTTCAAGGGGCCCGCTTCACTGCAGTGGGCTCTCTCAGGACAATTTTCTTCTTTTTTTTTGCTACAGTTAAATCGGCAGGATAGATCTTCAGTAACTTAAAATGGTTACTTTAAATTTTTAGAAGATTTAGGCTTAACTGTAAGCCCTTTAGACTCTTAAAGTCTATGTCTTTAGCTAGAAAATGAAGAATTAAAGTAGACTATCTCTAAGGTCTCTTGTACTCTCTAATTCAATGAGAAAACCCTCTTACTAATTTCATCATGTATGATGAGTGGAAAATAATGAATGAACATAAATGCATACTTATGCAAGGGCATCTTATTTTATATTTGATATGGATAAATAAGACTACTTATGATTTTACTGTAATACAAGGTGCTGGGAGGATTGGGAAGACAAGCTAACCCGCAGATCCTCCTGTAAGTCACTAAAATTAGCGAAATGCTGCAGAGCACTGTGTTTACATCTGGGGGCAGCTTTCAATGAGCCAACACTAAAGAGATAACATAGATTTGCCCCCACACCTCCACAGCACACTGAGGGGTAGTAACCTATATCCTGGGTTATTGGGCAGGTCTGACGAGCAGCCAGCTGAGCAACTGGGCAACTGGGAATATCTGCCTATTGGGTAAAGTGACTTGGCTCTTCCCGGAAAATGAAACCTTCTGGACCCATGGACTCACTCAACTCCTGTAAATATACCAGCTTGGGACAGAAAGTGAATCCTGAGCCCTTATACTCCTGGGTAATTCTCAAGTAAATGAGCAGACAGAAGGTTTGTTCTGAGAGCACCTATTTTAAAGGCACATAACCTAGAAATTAGAAAGAACACAGAGATGAATTCTTTGCGTGTATTTTCTCTTCTCCTGTCTCACAGGATAACACAAATCTCTCGGTGGCAAAGGAGAGCTTTTACTACTCGTCATGGACTATATTCTAAACCAGCAGAAACTAGAGCAACCCGAGTGATGGCTGCGGCACTGAGTGCAGGGCTCAGATTAGACTCTCGCTTTAACCTGAAGCGGTCCTCAGGCTGCAGGAACTTACTCTTCATCTGTGATGGCCTCGTGGCAGCTGTCACAGACCCTCACTTCAAACTCGAAGCCCATCAGGGGGATGGAGGAGCGCTTGGAGCTGCATTTGCCGCAGACAGCCTTCCCACACTTGCGGCAGTGGTGCTGGAGGAGGGAGAGAAAATAGATACTCATCACGGCTCCCTTAGCTCCTGAGGCCCCCGCACCTCACCCCTCCTGGCAGACAGAGGTGTAATCAACTGCATCCAGGTGAGGATGCTGAATAAGAGTGCCTCAGAACTAAAGGGAACACACTAGATGTGTTCTTTTCTGGGGCTCTGTTTATTCAACAAGGACCGTTGGGTAACACACCTGACAGGGACACCTCCCCACTCTCTTGCTTTTCCCTACTCTTGGTCCTTTTCAATGATCATACTAGGAACTACAGAGGAACCACCCGGGGCCAGGTGATCTTACAGCAAGGTATCTGAGAAACTGACATCTCAGGAGATTATGCTGCTGGATGAAGGAGAACATGCAGGAAACCTGATTCAATCTGCTGACTTTGGCCATGGTATAAGCCTAGGTGACCTAACATTTTATTTCCTTGGGGAAGACCAAACTGAACCATGGACTCAGATTGAGAATGCTGTATTATAAGTAGATCTACATAACCAAACGTAATCAGGAGGAGGGAAAGTAAAATGAGAGAGAAACACCATTTATATAATCTATATAATTTCATGGTCTGGTATCCATACGAACTAAGCATGACACCTCTAATTGTAAGGTGTATTGCAATAGAGGCCACTAGAATTCTAACATCACATCCCTAACTGCTTACTGGGAACCAGCCACTACAGACACTGAATCCAGCAGGAATGAGCTACGGTAGACAAACAGAGTAAATTACTGTGCAATCACAAGGTGACTCCAGGATCATAATTTACCCTCACCACAACTCCCACCCAGGGGTGTTATTTCTTCTAAGATCACATGGTTGAGCTATTTCCACACAATTACATTTTGATGAAGCATCCATATCACTCACCTGTCTTAGACCAATTTTCTTACTGTCCCACATTTGCTTGAAGTTCCAGAAGAAAGGCTGATCACACTTTTGGCAGGAATCACTGTCCAACCATTCAGGGGTCTTTTTTCAAATAAAGCACAGAACAGGTCAGTGTGGCCAGCAGTGAGGACAATGGAACCACTGACCCTGATGAAACTTACGGAGCAATCAGGATGTGTTTATAAGAGGTGTGATTTCTCAGTCAATCATTCAAAAAATATTTACCGAATGTCTATTCTGTGGCAGGCCCTGGGGATGGGATGTAGTGGTGAATAAGAATCTCCACCATCATGAAAATATGATTAATAATTATTTACATAAGCATAAGTGTGTGAAGGCCCAAGAGGGAGACGCACAGAGTGCTTTGGCAGAGGGATCACAGGAGCCTCCGACCCAGGCTGAGGTTCTCAGACAAATAAGACAACTGAGACCTGGGGATGGATGGAGCGCAGATGGGGAAAACGAGGGATGAGGCTGGAGGGGGCAGGATTAATGTATGTTTGTGAAACAATTTCTCGAATACCAACTTATCACCATTAAAATTATGTAGTAAAAACAAATATTTAAAGACATGGAACATGTTCAATATATAATAAACTAACACAAAACCCCCGGGTTATTGAACAGTATCATAGCACAGAGTTAAGACAGACTAGGAGAAGATATTTATAAAGTTTGTAACTAACAACTCCTGCAAATTACTGTATACAAAGAACCCCTGGAAAATGAGTATGGAAATCACAAGAAACAGTTGAGAAACGGGCAGAAGATACAAAAGATATGAGCATGCAGTTCACAGTCAGGGAAGTCTGAATGGCTAACATATATGAAGAGAGGCTCAAATTTACTGTTAAGCAGAGAATGCAAATAAAAATGAGATACTATTTTACCTCTGTCTCCAAAAGGGCAAAACCAGAAAGGGAGGGAACAATTGCTACTGGTGAGGATGTGCAGTGTCAGAAAACTCCCTGTTCTCCATTAGAAGTATAAATGAGTACAGCTGTTTGGTTGCATTTAGCAAAATCAAGAATATACCTTCAATTGATCCCACTCTTGGGTTTATGGCCCTCAGAGTCTCACACAGTGCAGGTCTGTGAGGGGACACATACAAGAAGGTCATCTGGGCATTGTGTGTGGTACCAGGGAGTCTGTGCCAGTCTACATGCCCTTTGCTTGGGAAACAGAGAAGTAAAATGTGACTGGTACACATGATGGGGTCCTGTGCAGAAGCACCACAAGAAACAGCACGATGGTAGAGCTCAAAAGGGTTCAATGGCAAAAGTTGGAACTAGAACTAGACTTACAGTACATCAGTTACATAAACTTTTTTTTTTTTTTTTTGAAACAGTCTTGCTGTGTTGCCCAGGCTGGAATACAGTGGTGTGATCTTGGCTCACTGCAACCTTCGCCTCCCAGGTTCATGCAATTCTTGTGCCTCAGCCTCCTGAGAAGCTGAGATTACAGGCGTCTGCCACCATGCCTGGCTAATTTTTTTTGTATTGTTAGTAGAAACAGGGTTTCGCCATGTTGGCCAGGCTGGTCTCGAACTCCTGACCTCAAGTGATCCACCCGCCTCAGCCTCCCAAAAGCTGGGATTACAGGCGTGAGCCACCGCGCCCGGCTGAGTTATGTAAACTTTAAAACACACACACACACACACACCCCTTTTATAAGGAAGCATGTGTGTTCAGGACACACATTAAATGCATCACAGTGGGTATCCATGAGGAGGCATTTGGGAATTAAGGACCGATAAAGCGGAAAAAAAATAAATCAGCATGTTTGTGATTCTATTTTTTGTTAAAAAAAAAAAAGTCTTACATACGTGTTATGTGTAGAGAAAAATGTTAGGAAGGATGTATGCCAACATGTTCAGAGAGTGCTATTTCTGGGTGGTGGTAGTATGAGTAACTGACATCTTTTCTATTTACTAATGAGCACTTTGTAACTTTTCTACCAAGAATATTATATACAATATATACCTTTAAAAAATGCTAAAAGTTAACAAAACAAAAATGGATTTTCTTAACTGTGTAAGACACCTGTTCAACCTATGAGATGTTGCTCGATCTACATCCAGCTACTCAAGGTCTTCCATTGTCTGCCCTGATCTTTCAGCTAGCTGCCATCCTCTCATCTGACTGCTGCTCTAAACTGCTCATGAGCACGAATGCACTGCATCAACCTATCGTGTTCACCTTGTCCTTACTCTTGCTGTTTCTCGGCCTACAAAGCCCAGGTGCTCCTGCTCAGAGCATATCCAGACCCTGTTGATCCTTCAGCACAATGTTCCTCCATCAATCCTTCACTGAGAACATTAGCCAATGACGACTCCATTCCTTCTAAAATACCCAGCACTGATGCTCTAGCATATATCAACTATAATTTCACGATTTATACCATTTAATAGAATTCTGAAGTTTCCTCCTACAAGCCTTTTCTTTCGGAAAGTCTGTCAGTACTTCAGGTTAGAGACGATTTCATTATATGTCGCAGACCTCCCAAGGTGAGCATCACACAGCACTTATCATAACTAGGAAGCAGCTCCATAGAGGCTAAGATTAAAACAAAAATCTCAGGAAATTTATGTTTATAAAAATGATACTTGCAAAAAAAATGAATGGAACAATCTCCATTGCTTATTTAGAGTGTTGACTCACTAAGATTTTAAATTAGTCAATAGTATTGGGTGCCTTTATATCTGCACATCAAGAGGCTCATAAACAAGGTTGCTCAAAGAACTGCCCATCAACCACTTGGTTCCATCTCTGGACACCACACTGTTATCCTCCTTTGGCCTCTGTCCATAAAGGGTCCAGGCTGCATGCGCCAAGGGAAAAGAATCGGGTCCTTCTCCCCTCCCCTGGTTTGGTTAGGTGGGTCCAGAAAGAAGTCAGGAAAGACCAGGTGTGACTGTCCCTAACCCAAAGCAGGCTGCCATGCAGAACCCAACCCAGGACATAATCACCAGCCATGCGGGAACATGGTTAGCATGACTGGCACTCATTGCAAACATCTCCAGCCTTCGTATTAATGGTGCCAAGTATAGTTTTCAAAAGCAATGTTCTACAATTCCCCACCTTCTAACAGTAATGATCATTTTGATTAGTTACTAATAGAATTCCCATGGACTTAAGATCTGAGCAAATAAAGCTTTAATCTTCTTAAGCATATAATTACTGGCATTTGAAAAAGGCATTACATTGTGGGTAATAGCAACTACTCTCTTGAAATGAGACTGGGGTGAGGGCATGGAAAGAAGGTAGGAGACTTTTGTCTTTTTAAAGTGTTTCTTTTCTATGTAATTCTTGTATCCTGCAAGAAATTAATTATAAGAATATGCATTGTCAAAGGGAAAGTCTACCCAGAATAATTCTAATGTAATGGGAAAATGGTTAACTTCAAAGTACTTGTCAAAGGAGATATGCAGGAAACATATTTGTTAAGATGCTCAAAGATTAAAGTGAAAGCTCATAAAAAAGAATGTTCTGATAACATGTAAATATGTGCTAAAAAACTAAGGATATATTTATATCTGGAGAACTATTTAGAACATGACTTACAAAGTACAAAATAATTATTTCTAGTATTTCTATTAATACCAAACTAAGGATTCTTGCTTCATCTTAGCCACTATTTTCTTCCATGACATAAATCATGTGAGTCCTCTGTTTTTGTAGGGCATTGTATACCAAAGGACTAATCACCAGGAAGTAGATGATTTCTTTTCCTAACCTGTACTTTTGCTGTGAATGGTGTAACAGATTTAAACAGCTTAGTCTCAGTCAAAATTCTTATGAAATCTCCATCACAGGAATGTTACATGCCAACTTGTGAGGGGGGGAAAAAGAAACTCAACCCAAACAACTCCTTTTATGCTATAATTCTTTGACGTTACATGCCTTATTTCATGGTTTAATCATAAAGGAATAAGAAATAAGCAGGAAGGGAGGAGGGCCAGAACCACAAGGCCCACCCCACCCTGCTGTGCCACCTACCTCCTGCCTCTCCACGTCCATGTTCCAGACGACAATCCCACCATCACCGCCACAGGAGATCAGCTGTCGCGTGTGCTGCGCATAGGAGAGGGCCTGGACTTTGTCGCTGTGAAAGAAACAAAGGGTTAGTGACAGTTTAGGAGAACAAATGCAAGGCCTCGCTGCAGAAACCTTGGCAAAGTCAGCCAATGTGCTCACTCACTCTGAGCCCCAAGTGTAGATCTTAGAAACCTGATGGAATTTTCAGCATGCTAAAGGTCAGAAGAGTATCCGGGATTTAAAATAAGTCTGAATGCTCCTTGACACGTTCAGGCCCCAGGAAGAGGTAATCTGTCAGTTACAACACTTAAGGAAAAAAGCTGATTGTTGAATGGACTGTAACTTCTTACTGGTTCCCTCCTTCCTCAAGTAATTAAAATCTATAGCATATGTTCATTTTGTATTTGTTCAAGAGTCATGATTTTCCCTTTTACAAAATTATCCTTGAAGAGTTTTGGAGGTCATCCATTGAGATGCCCACCGGATTTACCTGACACAGCCAGGTAAACTGTGTTGCCTCAGATGTGTACCTCACAAGTGGCTTAGGACCAGCCGTGCGTTTTCTTGGCTCCCAGAGTGAATCCATAGTAGTAACAGACCTGAATTTCACAGGCTCTCCATTTCTCTAGTTTTTACTCTCTCTCTCCTGATTCTGTTTTATTTTTCTTTCTGGTTTGTGCAGGGCTGACAAGTTATTCCTTCTTGGCAGCAAAGATGATGGAGAATTTAGTTTTATGGTCTGAGTGATTGTTAACAATGCATTACAGAGGTCTGTCTTTGTTGGGTGAGAGAATAGAGTATATAGTTTCTTGGTTTTTTTTTTTTTTTGGTATGGTTGTCTATTTTGAGCTCAAATCAATGAAAAATTTTGTTTCTACTGGGAAGGAGAACAGCTCTTTGGTATCTGGACTGGTGATTTTTTGTGTGTTTCTGTTTATTCTTGATCTGTGGCTGAAATTGAAAACCTAAAGCTATTAAGCTCTGTCTGTGTGTTTCTAATCCAGAAGAGCCTTCACCTCTTGCTGTGTGTGGAATGCTTTCCTGTTTCCAGAGGGTGTCAATAAATGGGATTACGATACCTTTTAAATTAAAAGAACTTGTTCTGATTGTCTGATAGAGATAAACAAGTGCTTTTCTAAATTGAGTCCTCCTAAAATCACAGAACATCAAACCTCTAATATTGTGAACCTGCTAGACTTAAACATACAAATTCTTTTAACAGAAACTGCTAGCCAATTCAGTAGTATTTTAAGAATCCAAGTTCATAAAATTAAGTTTCATTTGGCAAATGAGACTAGTAACATAGGTTTTAAAATGTTACATCTTTCTCTGATTTATTAGTGTTGAACAGAATACAAGTGTGCATTTTATTTTTATTTACCCTAAATTTATTCAGGATAGCTGGTCAAATGAGCTCATACATAATGTTTAAGATTATTAAAAATATAAATTGTGTTCAGCTGAATTGAAGAATTATTCTGACAAACTTTTTTATATGAATAGCAATTACATTTTGTAGCATATCAACTTAAAGATAATTTCCAAGATCCTTAGGTAACAAAATGGACTAATGTTAACCTGAGCTAATCAATAACCATTGGACACTTAGATAATGTCTACATAAGTAAGAATACTGTGATTTTGTATAAAGCATAATATTAAGTTTACATATGTTTGCTTCTTATTTTTCTATGCTATAGCGAGGCTATACCTTTGAGTTGTGTCAATACATGACTTCATTTTTTGCCACTTTAAGGGAATGTAAAAGTGCCTTATGTCACTATGGAAATTTCAGTAATGCGTGTTCATGAGTTCTGCTAGTCTGCTAAAATGATTATATGGGATGATTTATCCATATCCTCCCTCCTCCTAATTTTCTCTGTGAAATATAAATTAGTTTCTTTGGTTAATTATTATAATTTAAATGGGTGGTTGAGATTATGCCAGGAGCATTAATGAAAAAGAAATACAATGGTTTTTGTTTTTCGAAGAAAAACAGGTTAGCTTTGTATCAAAGCAGTGGTTCTTGAACTTTTTGGTCTCACAATCCCTTTATACTCTTAAAACTTATTTGAGGACACCAAAGAGCTTTGGTTTAATAAGTGACAATGATCAATGTTTACTGTATTTGGAAATAAAACTGAGAAATTTTAAAAACATTAATTCATTTGAAAACAGCAATGATGAATCCATTTCATTTTAACATGTCACATATTTTGTTAAAAAAAAAAAAAGACATTTTCCAAAACAAAAAATTATGATGAGAAAAATGACATTCTTTAATATTTTTGCAAGTCTTTCTAATATCTGACTTAATAGGAGAGCTGGATAATCATCTTTCTGTATATATCATAATCATAATATCACTTCTTATAGCTTCTGGAAAACTCCACTGTATACTTTTGAGAGAATGAAGATGAAAAGGGCAATACTAAAGTGTCAATTTGTTCTGGAATATGAAAGAGAAAAATGAAGGACAAAACTTGGAAAGCGAGTTTTACTTGCTTTGGCTTATAATACTTTAGTCTGAAAAAAAGCTGTAAGATGCATTACAATTTTGGCTAAGTTCCCTCATGGCTTGCTTCGTTAGTTTACTGATTAATGCCTACAATGTGAAAGGATATTCTTTACCTTCTGTGGAATCTGCCTAGCTAGCAGAGATTCTGTGTCTCACCAGAATTATTTTCAGTACTTTAATGTTGACTCGATTAATGCTCTTAAGAAAAAAAGAGAGAGAGAACAAGAAGTACTCACGTGTGAAAAGAATTTTAAATTATTTAAAATTGTGTTATCATCTATGCTTATTTTTAAATGTTTTACTGCTTTAATTATACAGATAACCAGGTATTGCTTCTTAAGCAGCCGTGCTCCTATCTTACCCCACTTAAAATTCCCTTGACAACTCTTGTTAGAAATAAAGCCTGAAGTAACAAATAAAATGAACACTCTGACAGTTGATTTCTCAGCAAGGCAAAGTTTACTTCTGCAGAAGGGTGCTGCTTGTTAGTCTGGTCACCACAAGAGCACACTGAACAAAGGAAAACAGTGGCTTTATCCCTAACGCATTGGCTCCTACTGCTGTGTCCAGTCTCCATTGGCTAGAGTTGGACTGCACAATCTAAGCTGAACTCGGTTGGCTAACTTGAGAAGTGCAGGGATGCGGTTACACTGGTGGGAAAACAGTTTTGGCGGTGGGGGTAGGGGGCATTGCAACGGGAGGGGTGATTTACAGAGGGAGTAGCAGATGTGGAATATGGGCTCTATAGGTAAAGACTGAGAGGAAGGTTGTTTCCCAGGGCAAGGGAACACAGAGAGTAAGGAAGTCTGGCCTTGAGAGCAGGGAACAACGGACAAGGGAACTTAAACACGTTAACCCCTTTGAAGAAGAATGTCTTACTATATACAACCCTGGTTTTGCCTTTCCAAACTGAACCTCTGTTTTGAAAAAATAAAATTTTTAGGATGTGTTTTATGCCTGAAGATTTCCCAAGGAGGTCCTAGAAAATCATAAAGACTTGCTCTCTTGTCTTACAAAAAGAGAAATGTGGTGAGGTGCAGTGACTCATGTCTGTAATCTCAGCACTTTGGGAAGCTGGGGCAGAAGGACTGCTTGAGCCAAGGAATTTGAGAGCAGCCTGGGCAGCATGGTGAGACCCTGTCTCTACAAAAATTTAAAAAATAGTCAGATGTGGTGGTACACGCCTATAGTCCTAGCTACTAGGGAGGCTGAGATCAGAGGATCACTTAAGCCTGAAAGGTTGAGGCTGCAGCAAGCTGTGATCATACCACTGCACTCCAGCCTGGGTGACACAGTGAGACCTTGTCTGAAAAAGGAAAAAAAATTTAAAAAAGAAATGCTATAAATAATTGCATTTGTTTGATGTGTTACTATTTTAAGAGTAAATGGGAATAATTGTCAGATCAGAAGAGATGCTCAGCCGGCCCTAGGTTAAGTGTCAGTAAGTAAAAAATTTTCTTAGTATTTCAGAAATTATATGTTTTATTGGAAGACTGTGGAGATTTCCTGATGTCATTATTGTCTATAATATGTTTTTACCCATGGGGAAATACTGATCACAATTCTTAGGAAATAGTTATATAGCATATCCCAATGGGGAATTTTACTTTCCCTCATTCTGATATCATTGGTCACAATTACAAATTAACGCTTAAGTTACAAAATCTCTATAATCTGTAGATAATTTCTGTATTATTCTGATCCTTGCCTGAAGGCCCTGCTATAGAGTTTGTGACTTCAATAAAGGATAGCCTCAGAGTTTCATGGAAAAGAACTATTTGTACTAGGTATTTTAAAATATTGATATTTCAAAGAACAGACTCTTTGGCACAGGCCGCTGAGCTGACATTGCTTAGATAATTTTTAAGCTGTGCCAGTGGATTGAGTCAGGATTTCCTTGGATTTCTGGACCCTTTTTAGTCTGAATGCAGATGGCTTCATGAATGTGAACGGCTAAACCAAGAACCATCAGAACAAGAATTAATTACAGTTCATTCATAGAACTGAATGAACAGAACAGGGAAATTCTATTGTGGTTATTTGTCTGGAATACTGTTGATGTTGTTTTAATGTTCTATTTTCTGGATATATGAGGATGCCTTTTCTCTTATTTTAAAGCTATCTCTAACCCACAATTTCGTAAACTCTGTTATTATAAGTTAAATCAAAACATTTAAGAAATGATACCCAATTATCACTGACTGCCCAGAATTTAAGAAAACTGTTACAGAGACTCCTTAATTTTCATGGAAACACAGTTATTTGCATTGATTCAATGAGAATCTATTGGCAAGATATAACTGGGCAAATCAACTGTATAACCTGGAGTGTCATGTGTGAGAATGATGCTCACTGAATCAGATATGACTAGCCACTTTAAGAACTCATAGAGCCAACTTACAAAGCCTTCCCAGGAAAACTGGCCTGGTATCTGATTTGCAGGGTCCTGGCCTTACAACTGGTAAGGAAGGTACCAGGCCAAGAACCTAGCAAATGGTGGAAACTTTGAGGAATTCAACTGTTGCAAGTACTGTAGGTGAAATACAGTA